TCCAAACCAATCCCGAACCACTCAAAAACCAAAATCGATCACACGTGCAAGTTATAATGCATCATATGAAGCTACTCAAGACCTCAAACCACCGAACGGAATGCAAATTCTCAAAATGACCAATCGGATCGTTACACTGAATTAGGACAAGACCATCATGTTGCTCATTTTCACTGTACAACGAATGAAATAATTAATATTTTGGAGGCATCTCAACATAATATATTAACTTTAACTCTTAATCGTACCATTCATAATTTGAAGATAGCCCATGATGCACATTATCGAGTTGATGATAACTCGAGGATGGACCACCATGATCTACCCCTCCAAAATTAGGTATATTTCAACTATTGGTTGGTTCATAACTTGTAAAACTTATATCTGGCAGGTAACCCCTATGAAAGATATAAGACTTAGTACAATTATGATACATAAAAGAAATATTTATACTACAACAAGGAAATTTTTAATTTACCACCCGGCATGTGAATTCTGTTAACTTGGCGACCCTCTATGATGCTGCATTGGAGAGAAATTATGTCATCGCTCCTCATTAACCCGTGAAGATAAGTTTAGATCTGGCCAGACTCTTTCATACGGAACCTGTTTGGATAAAACAACTCCGAAAATACCACCAGATGATTGAGTGTTAGCTATATTTTGCGGGACATCAACATTGTTGGCATCTTCTGACTTTACGTACATTTCCAGCATTTTTTACATAAGAACATCCTTGTGTTCATCCGGAGTCCTCAAAAAATCTTGCAGAGTTTCATTGTCATCGATGTTAAGCTTGACATAACAAGCAACACCTTGCGGAGTAAGAGAATACGAATATCTTCTGGTTACCTTAAGATTAAGCGAACGTTTACTCACACTCATTCTTTACAAATTAGAGATACCAATTTGTCGTACTCCAATGTGAGTGGCACCTTAACAATACACTGTGGAGAACAACTATAGTGTACCAAGTTATTTTTCACCACAGTCTCACCGTCCCAATATAATGCAACCCTAATTTTTCGCTCATCAAACATTGTAGAAGATTCAAAGAGAAAAGGTATATTGATGAAGATGAAGTGATGTATAAAGGATGCTGAAGAACAAAGGTATGGTTCAAATTCACTCAAAAATGATTTTTTCAAGAATGAACGTTTGACCTTAGGGAAGCAATCCGGATGCCACATATCAATATAGCGCAAGTAATATATGCGCTATACAGTTATCTATTATGGCAGCTATACAGTTATCTATTATGGCAGCTTAATTGTGCAGTACAGCGCATGTAATAAATGAATTGTACACATATATGCGCTATACAGTAAATTATTATGGCCGTTAAAGTATAGCGCATGTTACAGTTTTACATGTGATATATACAAAATTGTGTTCATCTCTTTTTTTTCACCTATTTTGGTCTCTTAACTAAAAAAAAATAATAATAAATAAAGCGCAACATTTAGGTTCCGAACTCGAATCATGGACCCTTAATTTTCTTGCTTATATATATTCTTTCTTATCGTTGAAAGTATTAGCACGCTCGTTGAGAGAAAGACTTAATAAGAATTATTTGATTAATTTACCCATTATCTCTCCTAAAAATGAGTAATAGCTGTTGAGAGATACTTAAAAAATGCTACTATGGATCACTTGCAACAAGGATAGATTTGAAGAGGGGAAAAAAATTATAATACTTTAAAAAAATTATAATACTTTCTGGTTTCCTAAAGCTGACACTTATTTACCGTTTTTTTTTTTTGTGTGTGTGTGAGACTAAAACAAAACTTAAAAACGACCAATGGAGTAAGAAACGTAAATGCGATCAGTATTTCTCAAGAGCTACATTACAATCACTGGCGTGATACATCCACACATATGACTGCATTTAATGTAACTTAACTGACAATCAGAGACTTTATACATCAGATTATTCTATCCTTTAAGTTATACATTAGATTATTAATCTCATTTCAACTTCTCAAAACTTTTCACAGCAATCCAAACAGCACATTAAAGTAGTCATTCGAACAATATTTGAGTTGAAGTTAAAAAGGAAGAATATTTGGATATAATTTGTGAATTCTCAATCACGAGTATGGTTTCAGAACTAATGCAGCTTCAATGAAGTCATATATCAACTCTCTTTCACAAAAGATATAGAAGAAAGGGGTCTGCACACGAACCATAAAATGACTAAGCCATAACAAATGAAAAGTTATTTGACTAGGACAAACAATTTTCTCCACGTTTAAGCTATTACAGATAGCGCAGAAAACTAAACCATAAAGTCGTAACAAAACTTGAAAATAATTACTAGACTAGACTAGATAATCAGGAGAAATTCGTCTAGTAACTTAAGCTTAACAGGTTATCAGATTGTAGGTAGAAACTATGTAACCCATACTTCTAGTTTTTCGGAGTTGTCTGGTAAGCTGGGCAAATGCCCGTTGAAAGTTGAAAAGATATGTCTCCTGGAGATGCCTTATCTAGAAAGAAGTCAAAGGTAGAACAAGCAAAACTGATTTGAGGTTTTGAACTGCTGATAAAGTGAAAGATAAAGAACAAACGGATGCTTTATTTCTTAACTTGGTATGATTAGTAGCTGGAGGTAGCAGCTCAGAGGTAGTGAAACATGTCATGGTTCAGTGTGAATCTCACTGTTTTAGTATCTAAAGAAACAGTACTTGAAACAATTTAGATAGTAAGCACACTGAAAATGCTGAATAGAGTAGCACAACACATATTCATCATTCCCAACAGTACTCTAGCCTACAGGCTATAATTTCATGTCTTCTCTTTGTGCAGTGATATTCATGGGAATTGGGATATATCTTGGTCGAATTAGTACTATCTTTGGAAGCAAGATACATGCGATCACATTTTAGTAAGTGTAGCAAAAAGAAGATGATATATCTTTTTACCTTGAATTCAAAGAGTTAATTTCAATGTGATTGAGCAGAAAATTCTAACGTGCTATCTGTATGTAGTCTCTCCCCTTTTTCTCCTTAGAAGAAGCAAGTGCTACCGAATATTTACCATCTATAAACATGCACATGCATAAACCTTTTGACCCAGTAAAGCTGAGAGGGCAGGAACCAGGTAAGGCAGGATAACTACGATCATATAACCTGTAAGACATTGTTATTGGGCATTACCTAACCACATTTACCCACTCCAAAAAGAAAAAGAAAAGAGAGGAGAATAATGATATTATGATTTGGAAAAAGCTATTACAACGGCAATGAGTAATGAGACAACCTAGGGGATGGAATGAGGAATTACAATGGTGTGTGAGTGTAGCAGAGGAAAAAATGCAGTATATAGGATGTCTCTAGGTGCAGCTGTTTACTTTGTATGGCAGGAGAGGAACCAAGTAGTATTCCAGAACAAAATAAGGCCAGTAGAAGCTATCATCAAGATGAGTATTCAAGAAGCATTTGTGAGAGGAAGGATGAATCCAAAACTGGGCAGTAGATTAAATAGATTGAACTTCTATCCTAGTTAGAAATATTGTTCTTAGTTGTGTGGTGAGATACAGTTCTGCATACTGGGATGTCCAGTATGTCTCTCTTTCTCTTCTTCTTCGAGCTGTAACTTCCCCATTGGTAATAAAAATAGTTCTATTACCAAAGAAAAATGATATTATGATTTGTTAATGAGTTTAACTTCTGTGCTAATAATGTAAAACTTTTTTACATCAGAACCTACAACAGGTACCTGTCTATCATAGGTCTAAATTGATAAACTAGAAAAATAAAGTAATAGTATCATGGTGTAATATTAAAAAGTACACTGATAGTGTAAAAATTCCTTACACTGCAAGTATGTATAAGTTAAATCCTTTGCGAATAGGTAATCAGATGCTGAACCGAGCAATCTCAAAGAAACCAGTTCAACAGCACGGTAATATAGACAATACCAAGAGGACTTCAGAAAATAACATAACAAAATATATAAAACAAGGAACTACCAGAAAGTAATAGTTTAGACTCAGAAAGGCAGCAGACCTCCAACCTTCGTCCAAGATTAATTCCTATTGACTGATCAGAAACTCCTATTGATAACTTTTTTTTAAATGGATCTCCTCTCGGTAACTTGCAGAGAACCAAATTTGAAGCTAGAAGACGATCAAATATAATCAGTCCCATTACATAACATGACCGCCTTCTGGAGAGGGAAGGGGCCTTTCTTTCTGATTGGTGTAAGCTTTAAGTTACACTACTAAAATTTGTTGTTCAAAATGGAAGCCAGCAGTATAAATACATACACCTTTACTCAGAAGCAAGACAAAAAGTTCCAGACAGGAAGTTGTCATTGCATGATGTATATCTCTGATAATAAAGCATGATAAAGTCCTCTTTCAGACAGTGAAATTGTCATTAGATGATGTATATCTCTGCTACTAAAGCATGATAAAGTTATCCAGACAGTGAAGTTAGTATTACACTGAGAGAAAATTCCAAAGAAAATTTTGACATGCATGTTGCTTAAGGGAGACATGAGCAGATGTTTTGGATTTCTTTTTTCAGGGAGGACAAAGGAAAGGAAAAAAGACGGTGAATTTAATCTATTTGTCCAGATTGCCTTTCCAGAGAGAAAAGATGGGAGAAGGAGACAATGGTTGGGTTAATATCATGGACAAAAACTTAAATTTCTTTCTCATCCAAAAGTGAGTGGAAAGAAAAGGTGGACCTCCTTCACAGAACCTTGTGTATAACCAAAGAAGACCATAGGCTTGTGAACAAAATGAATACTTCATTAACTAATATTAGCGTCAGATGACATCCATTCCTTTCTTTGATTTCCTAATCAATCAAAAAATAAGAACTTAATACTCCTGTTCTCCTCAACATGATCTCCTTTTTCTTTTCTTTTCTGTTTTCTTATTTTTCCTTCCTTCATGTCAACCCAAGTTTTGAGGTCAGAAGAAATGGTCAAGAACTACCTAGATTCAAGCAATTTAACTATTTATCAATAGAAATCGAAGAGATAGGTGATGACTCGCAGATATATGGAGTAAGATTAAGAGGTTTATACAAATAAGAAAGTCATACAGACCATATAAGTGTTCGGTTAAAAGTTAACCTTTAGTAATCAATACAAGCATTTAACACTAGCAAGAATAACCCAATTGCTCTCTTCACTAGCTATGCTCTCAGGATTTGTCACATGCATGGATTAGGGGTTATTCAAGAAACCATACACCAAAAGGAACCCAGATATTCCAAATCATTATTCAGACAGCTTTGATCATATCAGAAAGGCCAGGATTATTTTATTGTAGTAGAATCAAATAAGGACTAGCGTTTCTCCACATTTCATCATACCCTGCATCGCTTCAGTATATCAAGGTTTTATTCGCAGAACAATGAGCAATTCATGTCCTCCTGCCGTTTATCTCAGCAAAATTGCATCTGTAACAATATTATACAGGCAGAACACGAGTTGAGCTGAGGACAGAACAACCTCATGCAATAATGCACAAACTGAAGCCTGAGATTATAACAGAGGAAACCACCAGTGCACTTGAGTCTTGACAGTTTGACGATCATGATTCCTTGCTAAGGAACACGGAGTCCATTCTGCTATCTGTTTCTTTCTAATAAAAATAATTGATAAGATGCTTTTATCTTGCAAAAATTTACTTTCTGCTTCTGATAAGACGCGACATCCCCACAGCAGACAAACTGATTCTGCTCAAAACACTCCTCATACTTTTTTCTTTTTTTTTTCTTCCACATTATTGACTCAAATATCTCTAAGTGCACTGAGAAAGATAAGCCTTCCTCCTAATTCAATATAGAACATGTTATAGGGAACATAAACTCAAATGACAAAATGCACCCAAATAGTTTCAAACTTTCATCAATTTCTGTAGTAGCCTAAATGACTCAACAGTCTGTTTACACTGTGGCGCTGTCGAATGGTAAAGTACACAAATTATCAATTTCATACTGCCATACAAATTGACAACCTTACATACACTGTACCCAATGTAAAAATCAAAGAAAGGAACTTGCTGTAAAAAGAATCAACATACTCACCACTAAGGGAATATGCACATCCTATTAAATCTTTTCTTATATGAATAGAAACTACAATCTCAAGGAACAACTTCAAAATTGTATCTAACCTGAAAATCATCGACGAGCCCAGCTCCAACGCCAGTACGCGTTCCATTTTTCCTCCTCTCATAATCATTATCATCTGTAGGCAACTCATGGCGACAAACAGGACAAGTATTACGTATATTTAACCATGGCACAATACAGTCCCAATGGTAATAATGGGAACAAGGAAGCTCAGTCACCTTCTCCACAACCAAAATCTCATCCTTACAAACAGCACAAGCCATCTTGTTTTCTTCATCCTTCAAAACCACCAACGGAAGATTTTCAACAACAGATTTAGCTGTTGGTGGACTACCCTTCATCAAGGTCCCTTCACTTTCGAGAAATTGCCCAAACAAGGCATCACCATATTCAGTATCATCATTTCCATCAAAATCGAGGCTTCTCTCGATATTATTAACCGCCAATAGAACTTCCCATTCTAAATTCCTCACCGGCTCATCATCTCCACCGTTAATTGAACTCGAAATATCTGAAGAAACTGATATTTCTTCAATCCCATCAATCACAGAACTCAAAAAGTCTCTATCTTCAACCCTTTCATTGACTTCTTCCCACTCGAAATCGTCATTCAAATTTTGATCAATAACCCTAGAATTCAGCTCCTCCGAATCGGAATCCGACCCGATACCCACAACCCGAAGCCCATCACCCGTATTATTAAACACGTTAGATTCTGAGGGAAGAAAATCCCTATCAAAATCAGATCCAAAATCACCGTACGGAAAACCCCTAGAATTAGGGTTGCTATTATCAAAATCAGGGTCTTCTGTAACGAACAGATCCGTAACGAAATTCATTTGATCTTCATCCACGTAAAATGAATTCTCAGAATCCGGATCTGAATGTACGGATCCGGGTCCTGAATTGGGGCTGAAGTTGAAATTATTAAAAAAGGTGTGATTAGGAGGAGGAGAAAGGGAGTCGAAATCGAAAGCGAAGGGATTTGGGTATTCTTCATCATCATCGTCGTCAGCCACAGCCACGGTGGCATAGGTGGTGGTTGTCGGGAGGTGGAAACGGTGGATTCTAGAAACTTCTGCCATTGAATTGAAGACAAAGTGAAAGATTTAATTTGAATTTTCAGAGATAAATGGGGGCGGTCGCCAGTTGCCAGTGATGCAATTATGCTGATTGCGCAATTTTTTTCGGTTCTCTCGACCCGTTGTGGCGTTGTCTGCCTTCGGCTGGTAGGCAAGCAAATACTATTTTCTATTTTTTCTTTTTAGTATCTTAACAATAAACCCATGGCAGTATTTTGTTATTACTACATATAAATATAAATAAGAAAGAATTACAAGAAATTACACATGACTTCACACCATAATAAAAAATGGCTCATGTTTTTAAGTTTTACTCCACCTAGCTCACATTGTACATATTTTGAAAGCACTTGTAAATTTAAAATATTTTTACAACAATTGTTTCTAAAAGCTATGGAGTTAATTCTTTGTTCTCACAACTATTGCTTTCACTCTCTCTTCTTCTCACATCTTTTACATATGCTTCAAAGGACCGTGTATTTTCTGTTTCTCCTCTTGTGTCACCTGCTTGCAATGAAAGAAAATTGAAGAGTAGAAGTCCACCATTGAAGATCATTCAAAGCTTTGCTTTTGAAAATGGGTTGTTTTGGTTTTGTTAGTTGTTTGGATTGGGTATTGTTCCAATTGATTGAAAATATCAAAAGGAGTAAAAAATTTCAATTTGAAGTGATTTGGAGTAGATTTGAGCAAGATTTGAATTAAATTTCAGAAAAGACGCAAGAAAGAAGAAGAAGTCAGTTTTTTGTATAATTATGTATAATCTTGTATAATATTGTATATGAGTGTAGAAACACACCTTATACACTGTTATACACTTTTATACACCTTTATACAAGCGTCTGTAGACGAACTTCTTCCACGATTTTAAGTTGCAATTCTTATTCAAAACCAGTCCAAATCTCCATTAAATGACTTCAAATTTTATATACCACCTCCTTATACTATTTCTAACAAGTCTAAATAACACCCACACCAAATTTTTCATAAAAAATTCGAAATTTAAACTCACATATTTAAGCTTGTTAAAAATCTAATTTTCACCACCCAAATGAAGTTGGTTTGTTGAATTAATATTTGAGTCACAATTACTGATTCGAAAAGTAATTTAAAAGCTTGAGGAATATTTTTTAAAAATTAAATAGTAAGTTTGAGAACCTATTAGAGTTGGATGTTGAATCTTAGCCTATTATTTATAGGCTAGTTGGTTGTAAATTAAAATATGAGCTATAAAATTGAAAAGTATGGAGCACAATTGTTCTAATGTGAAATTTTCCCTATAAATAAATGTTAAAAAAACAAAACTGGTCTTTGATCTAGTCCCTCTATACCAAAATATTTATTAAAAAAAAAACAGAGAGATTGAAACGACTGTTACGATAGATGGATTCACTTGGGTGAAATCAAATTTATATGTATTTGGATAAGAATTTAAGTTCTACTACTTATAGACATCGAAATTTGAAAGGATCAAGCCAAATCCTAAATTAAAGATACTATAACACTCTTGAAATTCTAAGAGTCTATTAGGTTTATTGGAAATGACTCTACCCTAAACCCTAAGAGAAAATCTTACTTTATACCCATTAATCCTAAATTATTTACCCTTTAATGCCGAGGCCCAAACTATTTACTACTCCTACCCATGGGTATAAAACTATTTACCCGTTTTTTTCCTTGCCTCCTCTCAATCCTCTGACTTCCAAAATGCATGAGGACAGTAACATAAATGTGGAACCTACAGAATGCCAAGAGATCCTAACTAATGAAGTCTCTACGCCTCCTCCAAATAATGAAATTAACCTCGAGGCAAATAACGCGAGAAGAAAATGGATAACTGATGAAAGCTTTGTTAAAGTTACCAAAGGATTCAGGAAACTTCTCTTGTTTGGTCGGAAAAGCTGAATTGTCCTTCTATCGTCCAGTTATGGGTCATAACATGTATTTCTTGAAATACAGAGAACTTCACGCTTTAGCGTGTGGTGGGGCTAAGAAAATCAAATGAAATTATCCAACTGCAAATCTTCAATGCAGACATAAAGGAAAAAACATATCACAACATGAAGGAAAAATATGTAATTATATTCAACTCGTTCAGTGTTTGCTACTACGTCGAGCATTATATTATAGCAGAGGTAGACATAAGCGTTCATTGTTCACCTTCAATTTTTCTCTTCCATAAGCTTCGATAGATGAACAAGATGACGCCATGTTAACAACACCCACTAGAGGAGCAAAATCCACATCCTCAAATTTAAATCCACCATTGATGGACCTTGAAGCTTGAAACTCTTAACTTGGTTTGTTTGAGTTTTTAATTATTTTGATCTGATCCTATATGGGTTAGTTTGGAAAGTTGATTGGAGGTTGTAGCTAAAGTTTTAGTCAATTTGATAGAGATTTTGTAGTAAATTTTATAAATTTGGGTTGAAATATAGTTGAATCAGAGAAGAAGACGAATTTGTATTGTATACCCAAATAGTATACAAATATACCATTTTAGTATACAATTCATTCCAACTATATACCCTATTAGTATAGTTATATACTATATTGGTATCATATGCAAGTTGAATTATTTTTTGGTTGTATTAGCTGCATTTAATTGGTACAATATTTGATTTTCTTTTAATAATAGTATTATAGTACAATATCTTGAAATACCTTATTATATTAATATGTGGTACACTATTTTTTTTTTTTCTCTTTATGCATGTGTACAATGTAATAGTAGTATAGTCATATAGCTGCTGGAAATTAACTAGTAAAACTGTATACCATGTTGGTACAGTTATATGCCATACTGATATCATATGGTAGTTTGAACATTGTTTTGGTTGTTTTAGCTGTATTTTAAGTGAATTCTATTATGAAATTATTTATATCAATATGAGTTGCAATAATATTGGAATTTTTGTGTACCGATGGACAAAAATTATGTGTATTAATAGTGTGTATAGTTATATCCCATACAACTATATATCCTCTTAGTATACGAAATGAGCAAGTCGTTTTGCGATTATTTAGCTTGCAATACGAGCATGTAATTTTCTCATACTTTTATTGCGTCCTTTAATGTTTTGGTAGAGTAGTATAGTCCCAGATAGTTGTAGCAATATTCTAAAGAAATCATATACTCTGTTGGTATACATATATACCATATTGGTATCACATGGTACTAGAAGTCTTTTTCGCTACTTATACTTTTGTTGTATTTTTTAATATTATTATTATTTTTATTCTAACTAGTATATATGGAGATTTGGTTGCCGTAGATTATGTTTTCTTGCTCTATAACTGGTTGTATTACCGTTAATGGTAGAGTGTGTATTGATATTTTTAGGGAAGGAGTAGAATAATAAAACAGATGATATTTGTCGAGAAGTGCAAAATCGTATGGATACGATTCTCGTTTTGTATCTTGATTAATTGGATTGTTTCTTTATGGATTCCTATCCCAAACTCTTCGAGATGTGTTTCCGAGTATTCCTTGATCATTTCGTCCAAGAAGAGGAGTTCCTCTAATTCTATAAATTTTTCTAGAAGACTCTTTTCTTGAATATTATTCAAAAAAATTTCGGATTGCCCAGTATTCCACCAATTAGTAACCCAAGATTCCAGACATTTATTAACTGAGAAAGAAATCCACCAGGGCAAAAATACTATAGATGCAAGATAGAAAAGAGGAGTGAATGCTTTCTTTTTTGCCATTTTTTCATCTGTGAATTGTTAATCAACCCATTCGTACACTCTATGCGATCGAATATTTCTTACACACATGAGTTTTATACAAGGNTTTCTCTTTATGCATGTGTGTTATGTAATAGTAGTATAGTCATATAGTTGCCGGGAATTAACTAGTAAAACTGTATACCATGTTGGTATAGTTATATACCATATTGGTATCATATGGTAGTTTGAACATTGTTTTGGTTGTTTTAGCTGCATTTTAAGCGAATTCTATTATGAAATTATTTATATCAACATGAGTTGCAATAATGCTGGAATTTTTGTGTGCCGATGGACATAAATTATGTGTATTAATAGTTTTTATAGTCATAGGCAATTGTTGGAACGACCCCATACAACTATATACCCTCTTAGTATACGAAATGAGCAAGTCGTTTTGCGATTATTTAGCTTGCAATACGAGCATGTAATTTTCTCATACTTTTATTGCGTCCTTTAATGTTTTGGTAGAGTAGTATAGTCCCAGATAGTTTTAGCAATATTCTAAAGAAATCATATACTCTGTTGGTATACATATATACCATATTGGTATCACATGGTACTAGAAGTCTTTTTCGCTACTTATACTTTTGTTGTATTTTTTAATATTATTATTATTTTTATTCTAACTAGTATATATGGAGATTTGGTTGCCGTAGATTATGTTTTCTTGCTCTATAACTGGTTGTATTACCGTTAATGGTAGAGTGTGTATTGATATTTTTAGGGAAGGAGATCAAGGTTTGCATGGCAATCACGTGTTGATTCTTAGAATTTGATTATGTAATTTATGGTGCTCAATAACAGTCAATGTGATATTCAGTGTATTAGATCAAGTGACAACTGATATTATTTCAGTTTAATAATTAAATTTAAAAAATGACAAAGAAAAAAAAAAGGTATAATGTACTAGTTATATTAGAAAAATGTGAATAAATATTTACTATATCAATTATTTTTCTTATTGTGTAAAAAGAAATTTAGTGAAAACGGTAAATGAAATCAGATTATGAAGAGAAAAAGAATATATAAAAAAAAGAAGTTAAATGAAATTAGAAAAGGAAAAAAGAAAAAAATAAGAAGAAAATGAGAAAAAAGAAAAGCAGAAAGTACAAAAAAAAAAGAAGAAAAGAAGCATAGAAATAAAAAAGAATTGGAGAATAAAGAAAAAATGCACCACAAAAAACTACTATGGGTAGGAAATGTAATTAGTTTATGGGTAGAAAAACAAATGGGTAGACAAGGGTAAATAGTTTTGTTTATGTGGGTAGCTGTATCAAAACCCCAAACCCTAACTCACACCTATATAAAGGATACATATTCCCTTGAAGAGGTGTCTCAAAAATCCCATAAATTCTCGGGATATTTACAAAGGGATCGAGGCATAAAATAATGTCGTGATCAATAGATGTTCTTCTTGATAATAAAATACTTCAAGAAGAATATCCATACAATGATCGACTTTCATGGAGAT